TTATGATTTTTAAATTTTACAGAACAAAAATATTATCTAAAAGTTTTTTTGAAACAGGACTTGATAGGTAGCCCAGGCTGAGCTAACTCATGATCTTTTAACCTCTCCTTCTGATTACTGCAATTACAGATATGCACCACTACATCTAAACTAAAAGGAAGTATTTCCTTTTTCATCATAATTTCAGAAATATCAGTTGTACTGAATTAGAGCCATTTAATCTTTTTCTTCTGCTTCTTGGACTAGGATGACCCAAGTCTGACCTCAGACTTCTTCCTCCTCCCACTGTCATTCAACCAGTAATTTTTATTTACATCGCATTTGGACATAACTCATTTTGGTTGAAATGGTTATAAATTTATGGTTTGAATGAACTTTATGTAAGTAAAATGACATTTTTTCTATGTTCAACATTGAGAACAGGTTCTAGTTGAGATAAACTAGGTCTCTGATATATTAGCATCATAATTACATCGCAAGATTGCCAAAATTCTACCATCACTTTGCCACTGGGATTATTTTGCTTACAATCAATTTGGATTACCATTATAATACTGGATTTAAATATATGATTCTTTAAAAAAATCCCACATAATAAAGAAAATATAAAATCATAAAAACCTAGTAATTAAAACTATTTTTCTTTGTACAAAAAGAGAATTCTATTAATAATATCTTGAAAGTTCAATAACATTTATTAAATGCTTAATATGAGGCAGACACTGCAAACTGGAGATTTCAACAGTAAACAAATCACAATTTATACCCTTGTGGAGCTTATATTTCAATAAGGGGAACAAATAACGAACTGCTTGGTAAAGTCTACAGAAAAGGGAGGACTAGGAATACTGATGCTTAGCCCAGGCTGGCCTCATCAGGTTACAGCTGAGTTCTGTGAAACCTGAAAAATATCAGAGTGACAAACATCTGGGGGAAGAACATTTTAATAAGAGGGATTATCAAGTACAGAGAGTCTAAGCCTGCTCATTTTAAGGACTATTACCTTCACTCTGAGTGAAACAGAGATTCCTGGATGGTTTTGAGCAAATGAATAATATTTGAATTGTTTACAAATGATTACTAAATCTCTTAATGGGAAATTGATTATAGAGGCACAATGATGTAAGGAAGGTTGTGGACGCCATAGTTCCAATCCAGGGAAGACACAAGGGTGGCTTGGAATAGGTACTAAAAGAAGTCAAAAGAGGGGGCTGGCTAGCTCAGTTGGTAGACTGTATAAAGCCCTGGGTTTGATCCCTAGTACCATACAAACTTGGTGTGGTGATGCCTGTCTGCTATCTACTGCACTCAGGAGGTGGAAGCTGGAGGATCAGATGTTCAAGGTCATCCTTAGCTACATAGCATGTCTGAGGCCACACTGGGATGCATGAGACTCTGTCTCAAACAAAAAGTCAAAAGATGTGGTCAACTCTGGATACGTACTGAGGGAAGGAAGGGCTTACTTGATTTGTGGATGGGTCAGATGGAAATGGGAGGATGACACCAAAGTTTCTTGGGGTACAGAGCAACTAGAAGCATGGCATGACCAGTTACTGAGCTGGCAAGGGCTGAAGGGGAAGCAAATGTGAGAGAGTGGATAAAAATGCAGGTTTGGATACACTGAATTTAAATTTAAATTTGTTTTCTGTTGCTTTTTTCTTCTCCTCCTCCTTCTTTCCCTGCAGTTTGAACCTATGGTCTTGCAAATTTTAAACAAGCTCTGCAACTGAGCCAACATACCTAGCCCTTTTCTATTTTTATTTTGTGACATGGCATCCATAAGCTGCCCAAGCTGGATTTGAACTTGCTATGTAGCCCAGGCAGACCCTGAACTTGTAATCTCAAGTAGGTGGACTTGCAGGCACAGGACAGCATACCTGGTTAGATTTCTTGCTATCAGTGTCAACTAGGCAGTTTTATGAGATCAGAGGAAGTGAGCACATCTACGAAAAAAAGGTTCAAGGAAACTTCTCTTGAAAATAGGGGTACAGAGCTAATTTTATAAGCAACTTTAAAGATATGGGTTCAAATGATATAAAACAAAAAAACTCGCATACCTTGAAAGCTCATTTCAACACACACACACACACACACACACACACACACACACACACACAGAGTCTAAGAGATACCAAGAAACCTCAGAAAACCCCTTAGGGGTCACTTTGGCCTATGGGCCTCAAAAATAATAAGGAATTAATTTTTCCAATGGCATAGCCATTACGTTTTACCTTACATTTGCTTGAAAGCAAATATCAGTTCATTTAACTAATACATTAATACATTATGAAAGAAACAAAGAGAGTTTGGCCTAGGGAAATTTGGTAGAACTATGAAGGTACAATTTATATCACACACACACACACACACACACCCCTTTCAAAAGGAGGAACAGTAGAGCCTTTTTAAGTTTCTATTTCTGAATTTTCTTTTTACGAACAGTTCCAATTTTATATTCTATAAACCCAAAGTGTTACAGCTAACTGAAGTCCTGCAAGTTATACTTAAAAAAAACCATATGCAAAGGAGTCACTCAATTGCTCACTTTGCAGTGGGTCAATACTTGAATACTGACTACTTTGAATAAAATTATGATTATTTGTATTAGTATCAGTTGGTGGTCCAGGCTCATTTATCAGGCTGTTATCTGCACAAGTGAAGTTTGATCGTTCAAATGCTTCTGACTGTGAAACAAAAACAGAATTGGAACTCGGGCCTGCTGACACGGTGGAAGAAGACATGTGATGCAGCTGCCTCAGGTCTCTTGGGTCTAACCTTGAATTACATGAGGGGTTTTCAAGATTGATGCTCACAAGTCTTGGATTATCAGTCTGCCCCATGCTATCACTGCTGGTTGTCATCACATTCACTGGGTGATTAGAGAGCATGTTGGCATCAGAGATACTATATAAGTCAGTTGGTGACATGGATGATGTTTCCATTCTAGCTAGGTCATCAGTATTATAAATGCAAGCATTAGAAACATTTAACTCACTCACGTCAGGAACTTCCAGGAACTGTGGGATACCTTGTGAATTAGAGGAAAGTGTCCCTGCTGAAAAACTACCCAATGAATTTGTATTAAGTGAGCGTGAGGTGGGGTGGCGCACTGATGACCAGCTTGAAGGCTGAGGTACCACTGAGGGCATGGCGGGTGGGTGATGTGGCAATGCACTTGAGATGGACACAGATGAAGAATAGTAGGGTTCTGCTTGACTGGAGATCCCTGAAGACCTGGGCATTTCTGGTACAACTGCACCATGAGAAAACAAGTTTGATTCTGTGGAAGAAAAATAGGTTTTACAAAATTCAGATAAACAAAATTATATAAAGCATTATTTCTAAACTGAAATAACACTAATAACTTTACAGGGAACTGATACATTTCAAACTTAAAAAATTTTAAGCACTAAAATTATTATAGTAGTTCAAAAGAGAATTCTCTAATATATAAACCCTTATAAATACATAAAAATGATTTTCTTAAGTTATTTTGGCACATGTAATTTTATTTCAGTTAAATATGAAAATCCAGCTTCTTAAGCCATATATGTACTTTCTTTAAAAGTGAAAGGTAAGTATCAGAATTTCAATTAACACATATCAAATAGTCAATATCATCTCATAGTCTACACTGAGGAGAAAATGGAGCGACAGAGAAAACATTTATTATGTAAGACTGAAAAATGTACCTAATCTTTAAGACATACTAAGATATGACCCTAAGGTACTATAAAGTTCCCCATAAGAAAAAAAATAAGGAAAAAAATTCTGTATATATTTATATATTACACAAATACCACACATACAAAACCGGGGAAAAGTGTGAATTTAAGGCTATAAAAGGGAGCATTATTTAACCCAGGGGTTGGCAAATTATTTTCTATAAAAGGCAAGATAATGTTTTAAGATTTGTGAGGTGAACAGCCACTGTTGGAACTATTCACCTGCTATAGTGCAATTAAAAAAGGGGAGGGGCATCTAGGTCTGGGGTTGGAGTTCAGTATCAGAGCACTGGATTAGCATGCCTGAGGCTCTACTCCCAGAAACATTCAAAAAAAGGAGGCGGGGTAGTAGAGACTGTAGACAACCAAATGAGCAGTTATGCTCTGGTGTAACTGGAGCTGTAAACAGATGACTAGCCAGAGCTACATGATTTCTTCCATGACACATTACAATTAGTAAAATTATCAATATATGAACAAAATGTGATTTCTTCTAGAATATATCCCCCAAATATAATTAGTTTCCAACATATGCTTCAGAAGCCCAACCCAGACCAATTTACTCAATATTGAAAGCATAAAAAAAATCTGTTGGAAATATTTTAAAAGCAGTTACTTATTTCTAAAAAGTGGAATCCTGCTATGATAAAATACCTTTTTTGATGAACCGTCCTTCTCCAACTGACATTTGGGGGACTGCTCTTTGTCTCTCAGGGAAATTAACTGCTATGATAAAGGTATTCCATTATTAATGTAATTTGAAAAATAGTTCAGCATTTAGAAAAGTTTTAAAACAGTAAAGCAAACAAATCAATCTACTGAAATATAAATGAATCCAAAATATTCTTACCACAATCTTGCAGCAGTTTCTGAAAAAGTAGATTTGTTTTTTGTTTCTTTGATTTATTGCCATAGGCATCTGAATAAAAGGAAACCAAGAAAGCAGGTAAATCATCATGGGATTGTTCTTCCTCTCCATTAATGAGCAGATGGCTTATTAGCATACAGAAAATACTTTAAATGTGTTTAGTATAGACTTAGTAAGCATATTATTGTAGAATATGTCCCAGATCAGTTGTAAAGGGGGCTTTTCTCAAAAAAAAGCTGAAAAGTCATTTTTTTCTTAAAACAGCTATTAAGTCAACATGAATTAATGAATTAAGGTCTGATAAGATATAGACCAAAATAGACATCACTTTCTGATTAATAAAATTTGAACCTATACAAAGGGCACAATAAGGACAAAAGTATTACATATATATACTTTGATCAAACAGTTTGGATACTCTAAAATTATTCAAACTTACCTAAGAGATTCAAAGAGCATTAAAATCACACACACACACACACACACCCTGAAAATTTTCAGGTCAAAGTTTATCTTAAAATCCTCCTAGCATGGTCAGCTTACAAAAGTGGCCTGCTACTTGGGCTGAGAAGTAGCTCAGTAGGTTCAGCACTCACTTCATACACATAAAGCCCTGCACTTGATCCCTAATACCACATTAAAAAGAAAGAAACAAACAAAAACCAAAAAACAGTATGGTGGCACACTTCTGTTAATCCTCACAATCAGAAGCTGGAGTGGAGGCAGGAGGATCAGAAGTTCATTCATCCTCAGCTACACAGGGAGCTCAAGGCTAATCTGGGCTAATGAGATCCTGTTCTCAATTGTACACACCATTACTACCAAAATGCCATACCTTTTTCATCTGGCAGATATCTGAAATCCATAGACTCACTAACTTCCTGATCAGAAGGTCGCCGCAGCTGCATTTTTACTGTCACCGGTTCCAGTATAGCTCTGCAATATGGAGGAGTCTTGAAAACAATGGCTACTTGACGGTGCACATCAGCTTGTGAAAAGATGCCTTTCGCCTCCCAGTCATTCAATACAAAACGAACTTCTATATCATCTAGAGAATAAGAATTCAAAGAAATAGTAAGAGTGGGGAAACAAAGTAAAACACACCTATTAATCTAAAATATATTCTTAATTCAATGAAACAAAACAGATAAATACCTTTTTGAACTTTGTCACAAAGTAGAAATATTTCATCTCCTCCCCTGACACTTCCACAGTTCTTATTTACACGACAAATCCTCAATTCTGCAGTATTTGGGGCACCTAAATTGAAAGGATTTTTAAAAGAAAAGTTGCTCTCTCAGTATTACATTTTATTATAAGGAGCAGAATTTGAGGAAAATCATTTATAAAAATATATAAAAATTTTAGTGTACAAAAGAAACTAAATATTCGAGTGTGCTTTGTATGTATGTTTACATTCACGTGAGTGCAGCCATATGTGCCAGGGCATGCGTATGGAGGTCAGAGGTCAGCCTCAGGTGCTGGTCTTCACTCACTGCCTTGTTTACAGGGTCTCTCTGTTGCTCACAGCTGAGTGCACCAGACTAGCTTGCCTGTGAGCTTCCAGCAATTCCATCTCTGTTTCCCATCTGTGGTAATGGCATTCAGGGATCATAGACACACGTGCTACTGTGTCTGGCTTTTTACATGGGTTCTGGGGATCCAAACCCTTGTTGTCAGGCTTGTGCAGCAAGCACTTTTACCCACTGAGCCATCTCCCCAGCCTCAGATTATGTACTTTAATCACACCCATCTGCCCTTTTTCTAGCTACTTTGCCTAATGCAGTTTCGAGCTCTGTGACTTTAACCTCTAGGTAATGATATATTTTCTCAATAACTTTTCTTGTTTCTAAATGGATGACTCTTCCAGTCTATCTAAACACACTCTGACCAGATTAGTCTTTTAAAACCATTGACTATGTCTCTAGGGCAATGAAGTTTCCACGTTTTCTTTTATTTCCCCAATATTATTATGACAGCTGTCACAAGCATTCAAAGCTGTCCATGAGAAGGATATTCTGACCTATCTTGGTAATACTCCTGTCTCAGGATCCTTCTACATGCAAAACAGATGAAGCAAACACCACTGGTGAATGTGTGCGTGTGTGTATACAAAAATATTTCAAGATCTGTTTTAAAATATTTTCAAGTAAATTTCTAAATCCTTTGATGTAGTATTTGCCAAATTTATAGTTCTGAAAATTAATTTTAGAGATATTTGCATAAGATATGCACATACAAGAGCCAATGAAATGGCTAAGCAGGTAAAGGTGTCTGCTGCCAAGGCTGACAACTTGAGTTCGATCTCAGGAACATACACGATGGAAGAAGAGAGCTGACAAGACTCCTTCAAAGTTGTCTCTCACCTCCACATGTGGACGTGCGCACACACATACAAAAAATAAATAAATGTAAAAAATGCACATGAAGCATATTTATTTCAGTATAATTTGTTTGCAAAAAGGAAAAAGAAACAAAACAAAAACCCTATAACAGGTAATGATTTTCTTATTAAGATACAGCTATATAATAAAATATGTGTGTGGGGCTTGGGGTGTAGCTTAGTGGCCAAGCACTTGCCTAACATGTATAAGGTCCTGGATTCAAATGCCAACACTACTTTAAAATAAAAGAAAGAGATAATGTGATTGAAAAATGTTCAAGACATATTGCCAAAAGAAAAGTTTTGGTGTTTTTGTTTTGTTTTTTGAGACAATGTCTCATGTAATCCAAGCTGGCTTGAATTCACTAAGTAGCTGAGGATAGCTTTTTTTTTTAAAATCTTTTTGAAACAGGGTCTTCTTGTAGCTCCAACTGTCCTGGAACTCACTAGGTAGACCAGGCTGGCCTCGAACTCACACAAGACCCACCTGCCTCTGCCTCCCAAGTGCTGTGATCAAAGGCATGCGCTACGACGACCACGCCCGGCGCCTGAGGACAGCTTTGAACTCCTGGATCCTCTGCCTGTACTTCCCTAGTGCTAGGATTATAGCTGTGTACCACAATTCCTGACTTGAAAAAGTTTTTTAAAAAGATCATTGATCTCTTTTTTTAAAGTTACCACAATTAAATTGGGTGATGGTAATAAGACTGTGGTGTGTGTGTTTATAAGAAGGAACTGGTGCAATGCACACCTGGGGACAGTGACCATCTTTGGAGGATGTGATTATAGGTCCTTTTCGTTACCTTTTTTATTTATGAGTGTGTGTGTGTGTGTGTGTGTGTGTGTGTGTGTGAATTTTTCCTGTAATAAACATACTTTTTCTTTTTGTTTCTTGAGGCAGGATCCTACTGTGTAACCCACGATGCCTCCAAACTTGTGATCCTTCTGCCTCTGCATTCTGAGTGCTAGGATTACACGCAGGGGCCACCAATCCTGGCTAACATACTCTTTTTCTAGTTGTGAAAACACTTAGAAATTTAACAATTAAGGAAATAAAACAAGCTAAGAGTACATATGTAAGAAAATAAAGCACTTACGGTTGTCATAAATTGGGTTAGAAACAACAGGAGGAAGAGCTGTTGTCAAGTTACCATGTTCATCAGGAAGGAAAACTTGAAAACACAGCCTCACCACATTTAGGTCGCAGTCTTCAATGTCGAGCAGCTGCTGTTCAGGGACTGAACAGTACATTGGGCTTTGTTAGAATGCAGAATAGTTACACAGACTAAAATCCTGTTAGGTCTTTCTCCTTGCTCACAACATGCAAGGACAGTAGCATATAAATCTGAGCAAAACTAGGATGGTACACAATCTTAGGAATATCTTTTATTACCAGTAGTCACAATCTAACAGTGTATGTTCAATTATAGTCAGGTTCAGGAAGTAACTATACCTGGAATCTGGGACTTAAGGGTAGAATCACAAACTGACAATAACAAATCAATAATTACAAGTATGAATACAAATTATGTATAAGAGGGAATAAGCATTTACTCATTCAACAAATAATATTTGATCAAGTCTAAATTTTCTTTTAAATCTAGAATTATAATCATCCCCATTTTTAGTTAAGACATGACTTTAAAAAAAAATTTTATGTGTATGAGTGTATTGCCTGCACTTAAGTAAGTGCACCTGTATCATGCAATGCCGCGGAGGTCAGAAGAGGGTTTCTGATTCCCCTGGAACTGGAGTTAAGGATGGTTTGTAGGTGCCATGTGGGTGTTGGGAATCAAACCCAGGTCCTCTGCAAGAGCAGTCGGTGCTCCTAACGGCTAAGGCATCTCTCCAGTCCAAGACATTGACTTTAAAGAGGTGGAATTATTTGTCCAAAGTTTCATAGCTAAGTGGTAGGGTAAAAATTTGAACTCAGAGGGCTGGAGAGATCGCTCAGCAGTTAAGAACACTAACTGTTCTTGCAGAAGACCCAGGTTCAAATCCCAGCACCCACATGGCAGCTAACAACTGTTCATATCTCCAGTTCCAGGGGATCCGATGGCCTCTTCTGTCCACTGCGGGCTTTGCACGACATGGGTGCACTTACCTACATGCAGGCAATATACACGTACACATAAAATAAAAATAATAAAATTTAAAAAAATTGAACTCAGATTACTGAGTTCAGCAATTTGAAAAATTACTCTCTGTTAGAACATTTATTTATGTTTTACATAAAAATGACATACATAGGGGCATACTAAAATTTACACCAACATTTTAGAGAGGAAATGACAAGATGCCAGATGATGTAAGATAGCCAGCTTCCCCACAAAACTTGATGTGCAAAATAAATTTGTTTAAAATTAATTGTATAACAGGAAAGTTTTACAGTTCTGAAAAAATTAAAAAGCTCATTACAGAATACAGTACAAGAACAGCTTGCTTACAGTGAGGTTTGAAAAGAAATGCAATTATAAAACAAAATATAAATGCAATTATAAAACAAAATATTACTGCCTTTTGAAAGAATACTCTAAGCCTGTAACATCATTACTAATATAAGCCATATTTTAAAAGCATGAAATATATTAAGTTATGTGAAAATTTTATTTGGAAAGCAAATTAGTATTAAAATTAAAATATCAAATATGAAAAGACCATTTGCCAAATTCCTAAGTCTAACAGGCAACAACTAATAAAAAACAACGGTCTATTTTGCTTTGTTTTTATTTAATTCCATTCACAGTCTCAGGACTATCTTAGAAGTTATCCTAACATTTAAATGTATTCCAGAATTAGCATTCCAGCATTCTTTTTAAATTGTATTTATTTATTTATTTCTATGTGTCTTTGTGTTTTCCTTGAATGTTTAGAAGTGCACTTGTTCCAGTATTGCAGTATTGGCATTCTTTTTTTTCTTTGTCTTTTTGAGACAGGATCTCCCTGTAGCCCCAGCTGGCTTGGACTCACTATGTCGACCAGGCTGGCCTTGAACTCAAGAGATCTGCCTGCCTCTGCCTCTGCCTCCCAAGTGCTGGGATTAAAGACATGCACCACCATGCCCAGCCTAGTATTAGCATTCTTAAACATAATATTTGAACCTATAAAAAATATTTGTACAGCTATAAAAAGTCAAAATGGAACTGGAGAGATGGTTCGGTTGGTAAAGTACTTGCCTTGCAAGCACAAGGACCTGAGTTTGGCTCCCAAAATCCATGTAAAAAAAGATGGGTATAGTAATTCTTGCAAACCTAGCACTGGGAAGGTGGGGACAGGCAATACGTGGGGCACCCTGGCCAACTAGCTCAGCCTACTTGTCAAGTTCCAGGCCAGTAAGATAAAAAAAGACGGTAGCCAATGACTAAGGAACACAAATGAGTATGTGGTCTGGCCTGTATGCCCACAGACCCTTGCTCCACTTTTTTTTTTTTTCAAATTAGGGGAGAGTGTGAACACAGTCCCCCACTACCACAAACTATGCAGTTGAGTTTCCCACATTTGGGGAAATCGCAGGGGTCAGCACATCTGGAGCGCAATGGTTAAGCCTTGCAGGGGTCAGCACATCGGAGTGCAATGGATAAGCCTTGCCCTGGGAAAACTACCTTTAAGATCAAAGTATCTCCCCTGCCAGGTGAATATGCTCCACATTTTTAAAAGGGTCAAAATGTTAAGATGCCAGCACCTGCATCACAGCATCATGCTCTTACTTGTATCACTACAGAGGCAGAGGCACATGACTCCTTAAAGTTGCATTTTACAGAACTATAAACCTAAGAGTTCAAGATTTCAGTGTCTCTCAATTTCAAAGATGTGTTATCAATTTCTTTAAAGAATGAGTAGCTAGGTCCTCCTGACAAGTTTAAAAACAAACCAATGTTAATGGAAACAAACTGTGGTATGATATGATGGAGTAATGCTCAGCAGTAAAGAAGAACAAACTGCCGGGCGTGGTGGCACACGCCTTTAATCTCAGCACTTGGGAGGCAGGCAACTCTGTGAGTTCAAGGCCATCCTGGTCTACATAGCGAGTTCCAGGACAGCTGGGGCTACAGGGAGACCCTGTCTCAAAAAAGACCAAAAAAAAAAAAAAGAAAAAAGAAAAAAAAGAACAAACCGTAGCTATATACTCCATTCTGTGCTTCAAAAACATGATGATGACCAAAAGCAACCACAGAAAACAGAATACATATTATAAGCTTCTAGAAAAGAGTGCGTATGACAAAGGAGACGAGGAGGAGGGAGGAAACTGAGAAAGATCAAAGAAATTCTGGGGGGTGAGGGAAATTTTTGCCTTGGGGTTACATGAAGGGATATATTAACATCAATGAAAGTTTAAAATATTTAAAATGGTACATAATAGGACAGCAAAGTGGTCAATAAACCAAAATTCAAACACATTTAGTCACACAATGATTCTATCAAAGGGAAGAAATTCTATCTTCTCAAAAGATCATTATTTAGGGGATTTTTGTTTTGATTATTCTTAAGATGTGGAAAAAGAGTTATCATGCCATTAAAACAATTTCCATCTCTGTACATGTTTAAAAAACTACTGACAACCAGAAGTCACAGGTGATACTCGGCTGAAAACTCAGCTAAGAGCTACGTTTGTGGGGATAAATGTATTACGTGTATACACATGTATGTGTGGGTGCACATGCACACAGAGACCCGTGATCAACACTAGATGTCTTCCTTAATTGTTCTCCACCTTATTTTTCGAGACAGAGCCTCTCCCCAGAGATTCTCCAGTTAACACTGAGATTAACACTGAGATAACTCCAGTTAACACTGGATTAAAGGTGCATGCCACTGCACCTGGCTTTTTCATATGGGTGCTAGGGACTGAACTCAGGCAAGCACTTCACCGAGCCATATTCCCAGCCCTGAAGTACTTTTCTATAAAGCCTAAACCTTATTCTCTGGAATGGAAGGCTCTCCTCTCTAAATCAGTGTGGCCCTTGATGCAGCCCTCTTACACACTTAGTTTTTATCTTCCATGATCATCATTTATGTGCCTGTTCTATAAGGCATGAACTCAGAATGGGCATCTATTACATCTTTGTATTTTCACTTGATGTTGAAGATAGAAGTTACATAATGAATATTTAGTATACATTCTGTCATGACTAAAGACTCAGAATTCAAAATTATCCTCAGCTACATAATGAGTTTGAGGCCAGCCTGGGTTATGAAGACCTCTCAAAAAAGCAAAAAATAAACAAACAAAAACAAAAAAATCACTTAAAGAGGGGTTTGTTTATATTTTCTATATATAAGGTGCTGCAGAAAATAGTAAAACCACTGCAGAAAACTGTAAAACCATACGGTCAACATACGGTTTTCTTTTGGTAATGGCAGATGACATATGTAATTAGAACCCACTCTACTGTTGAGAATTAAAGGATGATAAAATATGAGACAAAATTCCAAAAGCATCGAAGAGCTAACAAGATCATGAAGAATCATGGGGTCAAGATGGAGAGAGAAGCAGGCACAGTAGTATATACATGCCTTTAATTCCAGCACTCAGGAGGCAGAGGCAGGTAGATTTCCTCAGTGAGACTGAGGCCAGCTTTATCTCCATATCATATAGAGTTCCAGGCCAGGGAGATGGAGAGATGGCTCAGTGGTTAAGAGCACTGGCTGCTCTTGCAGAGGAGCCGGGTTCAGTTCCCAGCACCCACATAGTGGCTAACAACTATCTGTAACTCCAGTTCCAGGGGATCTGATGCCCTCTTCTGACCGCTGAAGGTATTGCACAGCATGGATGCACTGACATACATGCAGGCAACACACTCATATACATAAGGCAAAAATAATGAAAACAGTTTTTTAAAAAAGAGTTTCAGGGCCAGGCATGATGGCACATGCCTTTAATTCCAGCACTTGGGAGGCTAAGGCAGGTGGATCTCTGTGAGTTCAAAGCCAGCCTGGTCTAAAGTGAGTTCCAGGCCAGCTGGGACTACAGGGAGACCCTGTCTCACAAAGACAAAAAAGAAAAAAAAAATTAAATAAGGAGAGGTGGGTTACATATGTAGTTGGATGGTAAAGTATCTTCTTAGCATGCTGGAAACCCTGGGTATGGTCCTCAGGAGAGGGAATGAGGGAGGGAGGGAACAGAGTGGGCATTATGTATGTAGTAAGGGCATTGTAGTAAAGGTGTGGTACTTGTGCATATGTTATGAATTCAGTGGGGAAATAAAATTTATTTCTTCCAATGGGTCACAATAAAAAA